CAGCCAGGGCCACATATTCCGCTTCAGTCGATGACAGAGCAACTAGGGGCTGGAGTTGTGATTTCTAATTGATGTAATTCCCTCCAAGTGTAAAACAATAGGCTGTAGTTGACTTCCTGCTATCCCTGTCACCTGCAAAGTCTGAATCTACAAACCCAACAAGATCAAGTGTAGATGTTCTTTTACAATATTCTAAGCCTATACATGCAGTACTGTTAATGTATCTGAGCACCCATTTTAGAGCAATCCAGTGATCACTCCCTGGGTTTGACATGTATCTACTCAACAGAGATATTGCAAATGCCAAATCTGGTCTAATATTAATCATTGCATACATTACTGATCCTATCACATTAGAGTAAGGAACAACCTCCATTTGAATGGTTTTAGCAGGACTCTTAGGACACTGTGACTTAGATAGTACAAAATTATTTGCAAGGGGCATTGACACATGCTTATAGTCAAACATTCCAAATTTAGAGACTAATTTCTGCAGATATGATTTTTGATGGATTTTTAGAGTACTCTTTCTTGTGTCCCTATCTATGAACATTCCAAGAATTTTCTTAACCACTCCTAGGTCTTTCATATCAAATTCAGAGTTGAGTCTGACTTTTAATTCAGTTATCTTGGACTTTGATTTACTAATCAGAAGCATATCATCGACATAAAGCAGCAGGTAAATGGGCATGTCATCTTTCAGTGCAAAGTAAAAACAGTTATCATATTTGCTCCTAGTGAAACCTAAGTTGATTATAAAGGTATCAAATCTTTTATACCATTGCTGGATGACTGCTTAAGGCCATATAAGGACTTATGCAACCTGCAAACATGGTCTGGCCTTTGATTATCTACAAAGCCTACTGGCTGAACCGTGAAGATTTGCTCTTCTAAATCACCATGTTAGAAAGCTGTTTTTACGTCAAGTTGCTCTAACTCTAGGTCTTGATAAGCTACAATAGACAACATCATCCTAATGGTCTTGTATTTGACTACAGGAGAGAGGACTTCATTGAAGTATATGCCCTCCCTTTGGGTGTACTCTTTGGCCATTAGTCTAGCTTTGTATCTAAGGGGTTCATTTGTTGCTATACCCTCCTTAATCTTATACAACCATTTACACTGAATAACTTTTTGATTTTTAGGTTTAGGAACAAGGGACCAAATCCCATTTACCTTTAGGGAATTCATTTCCTTTGTCATTGCTTGCCACCATTTGTCCCTATCCTTTGAAGTCATTGCTTCTGAATATGACTCAAGTTTTGTTCTCAATACTTCAGTTCCTGCCAGTAGGGCTGTATAGATCAGTTTTGCAAATGAATACCTTTCTGGAGGCCTAATCTCCCTTCTGGTCCTATCCATTACTAGTTGGTATTCCTGCAGTTCATCAAGCAAGGGGTATTGGGCCTCCCCTGTTTCACCTTCTTCTTGGTTTGGTGCATCAGGTAATGTTTCTTCTTATAGTGTAGGTTCATTTTCTGATTGGGTAACCTCTAGTTACATGTTGGTTGCCTCCACCTCGATTGGTGTGGTGTTTGGTTGACCTGGTTGAGTTTCATTGTTGCTTGGAGAACCTGCATCATTGTTAGTAGACTTGCAAGGGAAATCCCCTTCATTACATATTACATCTCTGCTTACTGTGATCTTTACCCCTGAGGCAGTTTTGTCCCAGAGCCTATAGCCTTTAGTGCCCTCTTGGTATCGTAGGAGTACACACTTTATAGACCTAGGCTCTAGTTTTCCATCACTCGTAAACACCCTTAGGTGGCTTAGATTCAAGTCCCTCCCTGACCACTTAGATTCTGGGCATTTGAATTCTATGGAACTATTTGGGCTTTTGTTTATTAGATAAGCAACAGTAGTCAAAGCTTCTCCCCAAAAGGTTTTTGGAAGGCTTGAAGTAAACAGGAGACACCTAACTTTTTCTAATAGGGTTCTGTTCATCCTCTCAACAGCCCCACTTTGCTGAGGGGCTTTCCTAACTGTTATGTGCCTCAAAATACCCTGATCTCTGCAGTAGTTATCAAATTTCACATTGCAAAACTCCAATCCACTATCTGTTCTTAAGGCTTTTACTCTTTTGTCAACGTGATTCTCCACAAGTGTTTTCCAAATTTTAAACTTAGTCAAAGCCTTATCTTTGGACTTCAGTAGGTAGACCCATACCTTCCTACTGAAGTCATCAACTATGGAGAGAAAAAAGGTATTTCCTCCATGAGACCTAACTCTCTCGGGTCCCCGAGATCTGCATGAAAGTAGTCTAAGCAATTTTTGGATAGGTGTGTGCCTTTAGTAAAGCTACCTCTATGTTGCTTTCCTATACACATGTTTCACAATAGTCTAGAGAGGTTATCCTATCTTTACCAAGCAGACCCTGTTGACTAAGGATGTTCATGCCCTTTTGACTCATGTGCCTTAGCCTCAGGTGCCATTTATCAGTTACACTTAGGTTAGAAGAGACCAATGCACTATTTCTTTTCTCAGGGTGATAACAGCCACAATAGATACAACCCATTTTTCTTCAGTCCCCTCAACACAATGTGGTTATTCTTAAACACATTAATACATCCCCCTTCAGCTTTATAACTGCATCCTGATTCATCTAAAGTACCTAAAGATATTAGGTTCCTTTTTAATTCAGGGATGTATCTTACATTAGACAATATTATGAGCTTTCCATCATCCAATCTTAAGGTTATATTTCCTATTCCTAACACTTTGCAAGTGTTGTTATTACCTATAAACACAATTTCATATTCACCATCCCTAAAGTCCTGGAACCAATCTCTATTAGAGCTCATGTGAAATGAGCATCCTGAGTCTAACACCCAATCTTGAGTTTGTTCTGTCCTAGACACAGTGAGTACTTCTGGGTCAGTAGCATTATTCTCTGCACAAGCTACATTACTCTCAATGTTTATTGACTTTTGTTTTCTAATCCAATCGTGACAATTCTTTTTTAAATGACCAGTTTTATTACAGTGAAAACATTTCCTAGGCTCCCCTTTCTTATTAGTACCTTTTCCTTTCTTCTTAGTCTTAGACCATGTGTTTCTTTGCATGCCATTAAAGGAACTTCCTAGTTTTGTTTTACCCTTTATAAACAGATTATTTCCATTTCTTTTCTGAACCTTCAACTCTAACTCCCTAGCTTTTAGTCCTACTATGATGAGATCTACACTAGGGACAGTACCAGAGTATTGTAAAACATTCTTGACTACTTGGTAGTCTTTTGTTAATGACTTTAAAAGGATCATGGCCAGGCTTGTGTCTCCTAATTCTTGGTCAGTGCCTTTTAGGATTATACTCATTTTCAAGAATTCATCTGGATTATCTTCTATTGACTTATTACTATCTATTCTATATGAAAATAGTGCACCCTTTAAAAAAGCAAGACTGGGTGTAGTTTGTAAAGCACACAGAGATTCGAGTTTACCCCAGAGTGTGATTGGAGCCTCCAATCTGTCCACTTTCCTCAGCACGTTGTCTGCCAGATTCATCATGATCAAGTTATACGCCTCTTCGTCTATTTCTGTCTTTCTCTTTAACTTATCCTCTTGCCATTTTTCTGTGTTCTTTTCGAGTGCAATCCCTACTTTATTATGTGACAATAGGGCCTTTATCTTCTTCTTCCAAGAATTGATGTCTACCTTTCCATCGTACTGGGAGATTTCCATGCAGGTTGAACTCATGATGCTAGAATCAGAAATTGGTTTCAGTTCTTGACAATTTTCAGTTTGTTGATAACCTACAAACTCCTAAGAACCCTAGAACCTAACAATTCAGAAAACCCCCAAATTTGTCGAAACCCTAGAATTAGAATTTTCATAGATTAGGGATCTTAAAGTCACACTAGGCTCTAATGTAACCTGCTCTGATACCACTATTGTAAAAACACACACACAAACTAATGGAGATCGAGGTGCTGACCAAGTTGATGTTCCCAAATATTCTCAAGATCCTTTGCAAGGAATTGGCGGTCCAATGACTAGGGCAAAGACAAAGAGGATGAAAGAGGCTTTGCAAGGCTTGATCATGGAAGTGCAATACAAAGAGGCTGTACTAGAAGACTCTAAGACTAAATTCAAATATTTCAAAGCTTCACCAAGGATAGTCTATTATCTTTTTATGCAAGAGGTAGATTCGGAAGATCAAGTTGGATGCAAGGATTAATTTAGGAATTAATTTCCGTTTATTTAATCTTGGGCTTTTTTTTTATGTTTTAATTATCATTAGATTCTTTAGTCTTTTATTTATTTAAGGTTTATTTAGGCCCAATTCGCTTGTACTTAGGCCCAACCCATTTTTCAATTAGCTAGGGTTTTCTTTTAGGTTTGTCGCTTATAAAAAGGGACAGCCATGTTACTTTTTGGGGACAGGTTATTATCAGTTGAAGTTTATTTCAGAAAACTATTTGCTTTGTTGTCTTGTGTTCTTGATTGAATGCTTGAATCTCGACTTATCAAAGGGAGTGATCAACCTTAGTGGCGTCTCAAGATTAGGGTTTTAAGGACTTAGTTTCCTTAGGGTTCTAATTTCCCTGTATTTTTGTTCTAGTGATTGTTTCAAGCATATACAAGGTTGTTTTGTGTCTTTTGCCTTCTTAATCATTTAGCGTCAATTCTAGTGATTTCTTTCACATGCCTTTTGCTTCCTTTTAGAGTCATCTTGTGTCTTTCTTTCTGTTCACCGTTTGCCTTAACTAAGTTTTTAAAGTTTTGATTTTTGAGATTGTCACCATCTAACCGGTTGCTTCCTGAGATTTGTTGAATTCTTTGATTCTGTTAAGAACATTAAGGGGGCTGGCTTGGCTTTGAGTGGTAAAAGGCAAGAGAGATCATCATCAAGAAAAAGCCAACATAGTGTGAAACACGAGTGATAACAATTTGATTTGAGTGCAAACACATAAGGGAGTGTGTGAGGAACAACACCTTTTATTTTATTTAATTTTACAGGTTGAAACCATGAGTAAGGAAGGAGGAGAACCATAAGAGGTCGACATGAAATTCTTCATCAAGGCTGTTAATGACCAATTTAAATTGCTGAATGTGAGATTGAATGATTTGGAGTCCTTTTCTGGTTCTAAATCACATAGAAGACATGAGTTCAATGAAGAAGACGAAGCTGATTCCAAAGTGGAGAGAACAAGTTATAAACGGGCCAAGAAGGTTGACTCCAAAGGAGATAACAATATAGGAAGTATAAAGATGGCAATTCTGAACTTTCAAGGAAAAAAAGATCCTGAGCTATACTTGGAGTGGGAAAGAAAGGTTGAGCAAGTATTTGATTGTCATAATTACTCCGAGGAGAAGAAAGTGAAGCTAGCAGCTATGGAGTTTATAGATTATACAGGTATATGGTGGGATCAATTGGCGATCAATAGGCGCAGGAATAGTGAGAGGCCTATTCGGTCATGGGAAGAGATGAAGTTGGTGATGCACAAGAGACTTATACCTAGCTATTACTATAGAGATTTGTATAGGAAGTTGCAAGGGCTGGTTCAAGGTTCCATGAGTGTCGAGGATTATTATAAGGAGATGGAAATTGCCATGATTAGAGCAAACATAGAGGAAGACGGAGAAACAACAATGGCTAGATTCATTGCTGGATTGAACAAGGAGATTGCTGACATGGTTGAGTTGCAACATTATGTAAAGATGGAGGAGCTACTGCACAAAGCCGTTAAAGTGGAGAAGAAAATCAAGTCCAAGAGGTTTAGATCTGGTTTGTCCTCTAGCTCTCCGTGGAGATCAAATTGGAAGGACACCAAAGCTGCTTTTAGAACAAAAGAAGAAGCAAAGTCAAAGAATTCCATTGCTGTTCCTAAAGGTAAACCTGAAACTAAAACTCTTACTAAGTCACGTGATATTAAATGTTTTAGGTGTCCTGGATTCGGACATATTGCTTCCGAATGCCCAAACAAAAAGGTTATGGTTGTACGGGCAAATGGAGAAGTCAAAAGTGCTAGCTCAAGTGACGATGAGATGCCACCATTGGAGGATTGTTCTGATGTTGAAGTGGAAGAACTTGTGCATGGTGATTTACTTGTTATAAGGAGAGCCCTAAGTATACAGCCTAAGGATGAAGGAGATGAGGAGCAAGGTGAGCATATTTTTCACACAAGATGCCACGTGAAGGATAAGGTATGTACGTTGATTATTGATAGTGGGAGTTGTACTAATGTTACTAGTACTTTGTTGGTAGAAAAGTTGAATTTAAAGTGGAAGAAGCATCTTAAACCGTACAAGCTACAATGGCTGAATGACTGTGGAAAAGTGAAGGTAAACAAGCAAGTTCAGGTTCCTTTTTCAATTAGCAAGTATAAGGATGAGGTTCTTTGTGATGTGGCACCGATGTATGCTGGTCATATATTGCTTGGTCGACCGTGGCAGTTTGATAGGAGGGTGTCGCACGATGGGTACAAAAATTGTTATTCTTTTGTAATGAACAATCAAAAAGTTGTATTAGCCCCTCTTAAACCTTTGCAAGCTTATGAGGACCAGATTAGGATAGCAAAAGAGTGCAAAATGAGAGAGAAACAACAGTGTGAGCAAGAGGAAAATAGAAAGAGAGCAATGAGATCGAGAAGAAAAAAGGAGAGAAAAGTGAGCAACATGGAGAGAAAAATAAAAGAATGAGTGTACTTGCTAAAAAAATGAGGTTAAAAGTGTAATGATGGTGAGGCAACAAGTACTTGTATTTATGTATAAGGATGTTTATTTTTCTACTAACGACCTTATAACTCATCTTTGCCTAGTGTTGTCGTGTCTTTATTGCAGGAATTTGAGGACCTATTTCCTGAAGAGATTCCTCATAGATTACCTCCTCTAAGAGGAATTGAGCATCAAATAGACTTCATACATGGTTCCACCATACCAAATCGACATGCTTATAGAGCTAATCCTGAGGAAACGAAGGAGATACAAAGGCAAGTGGATGAGTTGTTGCAAAAGGGATTTGTAAGGGAGAGTCTCAACCCATGTTCGGTTTCTGTCCTCTTAGTCCCAAAGAAAGATAGAACATGGTGAATGCATGTGGATTGCCGAGCTATTAACAAGATAACGATAAAGTATAGACATCCTATCCCCAGATTAGATGATATGCTTGATGAATTGCATGACTTTCAATTGTTTTCTAAAATTGATTTAAAGAATGGCTATTATCAGATTCGCATGAAAGAGGGAGATGAATGGAAAACTGCATTTAAAACTAAATATGGATTGTATGAGTGGTTAGTAATGTCTTTCAGTTTAACTAATGCACCTAGTACATTCATGAGGTTATGAACCATGTCTTGCGTGCTTTCATGGGAAACTTTGTGGTAGTTTACTTTGATGATATTTTAGTTTATAGGCAAAATTTGGATGAACATATGAAACACTTGCATGCTGTGTTTAGTGTGTTGAGGAAGCACCGATTGTATGCTAATCTTAAGAAGTGCACGTTTTACATGGAATGTTGTGTTTCTTGGATTTGTTGTTAATTCGCAGGGTATTAGTGTTGATGAAGAAAAGGTAAGGGCAATAAAGGGTTGGCTTACACCTAAAAATGCAAACGAGGTGAGAAGTTTCCATGGTTTAGCAAGTTTTTATCAAAGGTTTGTTAAAGATTTTAGTTCTATTGCTACACCTTTGAATGAACTTGTGAAAAAGAATGTTGTTTTTAAGTGGGATGATGTGCATGACCAAGCTTTCAAAACTTTGAAAGACAAGCTAACTAATGCGCATTTGTTGTGTTTGCCTAACTTTGATAAAGCTTTTGAGATAGAATGTGATGCATCCGAGATAGGAATAGGAGCTGTTTTGATGCAGGATTCCAAACCAATTGCTTATTTTAGTGAAAAGCTAAGTGGGGCAGCGTTGAATTATCCTACTTACGACAAGGAGCTTTATGCATTAGTGACAACTCTTCAAACATGGTAGCATTACTTGTGGCCAAGGGAATTCATCATTTATTCTGATCATGAGAGCTTGGAGTTCTTGAAGACCTAAGGTAAGCTTAATAAAAGACATGCTAAGTGGTTAGAGTTCATATAAATGTTTCCTTATGTAATCAAATACAAGCATGGGAAGGAAAACGTTATGGCTGATGCATTGTCTCCTACTTACGATAAGGAGCTTTATGCATTAGTGAGAACTCTTCAAACATGGTAGCATTACTTGTGGCCGAGGGAATTCATCATTCATTCTGATCATGAGAGCTTGGAGTTCTTGAAGACCTAAGGTAAGCTTAATAAAAGACATGCTAAGTGGTTAGAGTTCATAGAAACGTTTCCTTATGTAATCAAATACAAGCATGGGAAGGAAAACGTTATGGCTGATGCATTGTCTAGGAGGTACGTATTACTTACTTCATTGCAAACTAAATTACTTGGTTTTGAATTGCTTAAGGATTTATATGCCAATGATTCTGATTTCAGCCAAGTATGGAATGCATGTGATAAGTGTGCGTTTGGTGATTTTTATAGGCATGAAGGATTCTATTCAAGAAAGATAAATTATGTGTGCCTATTTGTTTTGTTCGTGAGTTGCTTGTTAGGGAAAGTCATGGGGGAGGTTTGATGGGTCACTTTGGTGTTCTAAAGACTTTAGATATATTACTTGAGCATTTCTATTGGCCTAATATGAAGCATGATGTGCAATTTGTTTATGATAAGTGCATTACATGCATGTAGGCAAGCAAAATCTAAAGTTAGACCCCATGACTTGTATATGCCTTTACCTGTACCTAATCAACCTTGGATTGATATATCTATGGATTTTGTTTTAGGATTACCAAGGACTTAAAGTGGTAAGGATGGCATATTTGTTGTTGTTGATAGGTTTAGTAAAATGGCTCATTTTATTCCATGTTCTAAAACAAACGACGCAACACATATTGCTAATTTGTTCTTTAAAGAAGTGGTTCGTTTGCATGGGTTGCCTAAGACAATTGTTAGTGATAGAGATGTTAAGTTCCTAAGTCATTTTTGGCGCACTTTATGGAATAAATTAGGAACCAAACTGTTTTTTTCTACTGTTGCACATCCTCAAATGGATGGTCAAACTGAAGTAGTTAATAGGACACTTACTGCTTTGTTGCGTGCTATCATTCAAAAGAACTTAAGGCAGTGGGAGAAGTGTTTGCCACATATTGAGTTTGCATATAATAGGACTGTTCATTCTACTTCTTCATTTTCTCCTTTTGAAATTGTTTATGGCTTTAATCCTTTAACACTTGTGGATATTTTACCTTTGCTTTCTAATGAGTATTTTAATCTTGATGGTAAGAAAAAGGCAGATTTTGTGAAGGATTTACATGCTAGAGTTCGGGCCAACATTGAAAGGAAGAATGAGCAATATGATAAGCAAGCCAATAAGGGCCGTTTGAAGGTTGTCTTCCAACCTGGAGATTGGGTTTGGGTGCACATGCATAAGGAGAGGTTTCCCACACAAAGGAAATCAAAATTGCAGTCTCAAGGAGATGAACCTTTTCAAGTCTTGGAGCGGATCAATGATAATGCCTACAAACTAGATTTGCCAAGCGACTATGGTAATGTTAGTGCAACTTTTAATGTTGCTGATTTATCTTTGTTTGATGTAGGAGATTCGAGGACGAATCCTTTCAAAGAGGAGGGGAATAATGGAGATCGAGGTGTTAACCAAGTTGATGTTCCCAAATATTCTCAAAATCCTTTGCAAGGAATTGGCAGTCCAATGACTAGGGCAAAGACAAAGAGGATGAAAGAGGCTTTGCAAGGCTTGATCATGGAAGTGCAATACAAAGAGGTTGTACTAGAAGACTAGAAGACTTTAAGACTAAATTTGAAGATTTCAAAGCTTCAACAAGGATGGTCTATTATCTTTTATGCAAGGGGTAGATTCAGAAGATCAAGTTGGATGCAAGGATTAATTTAGGAATTAATTTTCGTTTATTTAATCTTGGGCTTTTTTTTATGTTTTAATTATCATTAGATTATTTAGTCTTTTATTTATTTAAGGTTTATTTAGGCCCAATTCGTTTTTACTTAGGCCCAACCCATTTTTCAATTAGCTAGGGTTTTCTTTTAGGGTTTGTCGCTTATAAAAAAGGACAACCATGTTATTTTTTGGGGACAGATTATTATCAATTGAAGTTTATTTCAGAAAGCTATTTGCTTTGTTTTTTTGTGTTCTTGATCGATTGCTTAAATCTTGACTTATCAAAGGGAGTGATCAACCTTTGTGGCGTCTCAAGATTAAGGTTTTAAGGACTTAGTTTCCTTAGGGTTCTAATTCCATCATCTTCAACACGTTCCTAGCAAACCAACTTGTTCCTATTCCATCACAAACCTAACAAAACTAACAGATCAAGCAATCACAGAAAAGATTCAACACCAAAATTTTACCGTGGTTTACCTTTCCAAGAATGGGAAGGCTACGTCCACATTGAGCTCCAGAAACAGGAGAAGCTCACTGCATTATTAAGAACCAGTTTATAGATTACAGACTCCAAATCAAATGATCCAAGAAAGAAACCCCGAAATCAACCAATCTTGTAACAACCAACCTAGAGAAATAATACTAAGATTCCCTAGCCCTTAGAGAGACAATAACCCTCTCCTAGAATGACTAACACAATCACTCAAACTAGTTACAACGATCACGATTTTAGAACTGGATGAAAACCCTAAGAGAGCAATTTCTTTTACACAGTATATCGATCGAAAAACTCTCTCTGAAGACTAAAGACTCATTTGCCTAAATACTGTTGACCAGAATTGGACTAATTGCAGCTGTTGGATCTCAAGATGACTGATGGTCCATATTGATTCTTCTATTATCCGGAAACGACAGCGTATTACTTAGTTAAGTAACATGGCATCGTTTTAGTCTTCACACTTACAACACTCTAGGTGATAGAACCAACAGCGCAGAGAGATAAAACAATGGTAAAAACCAAGAAGAAGAGAGTGAAAAGAAGGCTTTGTTTGTCGAACTTTAGAGTAGGGGTGGTGGAACGATAAAAAGCGTGGCTAAGAAGAGTTCTGGAGTCGTTTGTAGTTAAGCGAAGAAGGAGTTGTTGGAGGGTAGGGAAAACGACGATGGAGAAAGACAAGGGGAGAAGGAAGAGGACCGAGAGAGCCAGGAAGTGACGTGAGTGTGCTTTGATTATGCGTTTCGATTCGGAGAGGATGGTGCAGAGGCTGAGATGTGGCATTGACGTGGTGGATCAGAGATAAAGAAAACACTGTAGAGAATGGTGATGATGAGGATCAGGATGATGAAGAAAGAAAGAAAAAGTGGAGATTGGGGATGGTTTGTAGTTTAGCTACAAAGGATGGCGTCCAGTGAGATTGATTGGCTTGCTTATAAGCTCATTTTAGTTTGTTTTAGTAAGGAAACTTCCTAAAGGTTTAAATGGTAAAGAGACAAGATTAATAAATTATGATAGCGATCTTTTTTTTTTTTTTTTTTTTTAAAGTGATTTATACCTACTTAAGAATTTTATAACATGTATTCAAAATTTCGAATGAGAAAAAATATTTATTATATAAAGAGGAATGGTCAATTAAACTATAGAGATATTTGATTACCCCTCTGTTTAGCCATTTCAAATACAGAATTTGTTACTGTTAGTATAAGTCTCACATTGATTAAGAGACGAGGGTTTTGGTCGCTTATATAACAAAAAGAGTCCCTCATCATCTAGAGACATTTTTAGGACAAAACCATGTGACCCTTGCTTCTCAAAGCGGACAATACTTCTATAAAACTTTATGAAATCCTTGCTTTCAGAGGGCCAGAATTGTTAGGTTTTAAGTGTTGAATAATTATTGGTATTTCAAAAAGAATTAAGAGAACCGTTGTTATTTTTATTCCATTTGATCAATTATTCCTAAACTTTAGCAATTAGTTTTACTAACTCTTGGAGTTAGCATTATCCTTGACTTCTTCACAGCGTTCATAAGTCTTATCTTTCCTCAATCACAACGTTATTATAGAAAGAGTACTAACCTTGACAGGGGCGGATCCAACCCCTCATATTTAAAAAAAAAAAAAAAAAAAAT